ATGAATTAAAGTGTTACAGAATGCAAATTAATAAAATCAGAAAGGGACAGCCAAAAGTGTCAGCTAAGATGCCATGGCTGTGTAGCAGAACCTGCAGACTGGAAGCTATTTTAAGAAATCTACTAATGGAAGAAGAACCAAATCTAGAGCAATTTCTCTTCAGGATGTAAATGTATTTCACATCCTCAAAGTCACATTAAATATGTTAGAACCGGCTGTTATTCCACATGAGTTAATGAAGCCACATGTGGCTAAGGATAGAGACAGGGATCAGTTGAAAGGCTTTAAATAACTGGTATTGAAATTATGATGCCATGAAACCCAAGACACTGCAAGTGGATGCATCAAAAGAGAGAATAAGGGCAATGTCAATGCAATATTGATGTGACTGATGCATCACAGTTTCTAATAGAAATTAAATCACATCAAAAACAACCACATTCAAGTACAAAAGGAAACCCTGGTGGCACTTTTCAGATGAGGCATTTTATCATTATGGTGAATAGAGAAGAAGTTGAAGTGCTGTAGAACTGGATCAAAACCTTGGAGATGGTACTGATGACTCTTCATACAAATAAACCCAGTAGGATAAAACATTTATTATTGCAGTTATGGGACTGCATTTAAGAAACTGCAGGGGGAAATGACTGTTTTGTTCTTTTCTTTTCAACACAGAAATTGTATAAAACATCTTGGGAACAGACAAGGGCATCTGGCTATGATTTTAGGATTGACGCCATCCCATTCCAGACAGCAAAAGCTTCAAGAGAGATTGCTAGTGATGTAAGAACTGCTCTGTTTCAAACACTTCCCAACCCTCTTCCCATGCCACCCTCACCCTGTAAAAATGGGTGAATTCTGGTGTAAGTGAACCTTTTTCTGGTTTGGAAAATTGGTGACCCGGTGAAACCAAATGCCAGTTAAGGGCAAATTTTCAACTATAGACTCCCATTAATAATGTCCAATACCAGACTGCTCTCTTTCACTTCAAAGAGTTATTCTTGGGAAGGAAGCATCTTATGATGTAGTAAAATAAAATAAAAACTAGGCTATGAATAGTTAAAGCATGGTCTAGAATAAAGTGGCTCATCTTTGAACATGGAAGACCACAGTTGGCAAGAAAGCTGAAGATGGAGGACCTTCATTGCTTGAGCTGTGTATTGGGTATGCCCAAGAGTGCAACAATAAGAAGACCTCTGACAGTTTTTTTATGAGTATTTTGCGCTCCCTAAGTCTGTCTACTCCTTTAAAAATTAGCACAAAGGGCATTCTTCTAAAATGTCTTGTTAGATTAGGAGATGTAATTTGATATCAAACAAACCCTTGGCCTTCGTGCACTACAGGAAACGTTATTGATAGCTAGGAGAGGGTAAGTTATGAAATAACAGAATTTGAAGGTAATCTAAATGTGAAAATGAGTTTTTCCTCTGCCTTTCCTGCAGTACAAATACAGAGAAGCCTTCCTGAAAGACAGAGGCCAGCAGATTGGATTCCTCAGTGCAAATGATGATCCCAAAATCAGACATGTTCTCAGAGTGGGGAAACTCCAGAGTGACAACCAATACAGGAGTGGATATGCCCAAAACAAGGCACAATTCCAGAGTCACCTCAACCAGCCAGGATTCCTCCATGCTAAGAGAAGCCAGCAGCTTGCAAGCAATGTTAACTACAGGCAGCCTTTGCACCAATACACTTGTGATCCTGAGCAGCTAAATGTGAAGCATGCAAAGCAGGCCTACAAGCTGCAGAGTGATGTAAGTATAGCTGAGCGACACTGTCTTTCCAAGTGCCAAGACCTTATCTGTCAAAAAAATCACATTCTTGGAAGAACTACAGACTGTTTGCTGAAAATTAATGATTTGTCTATTATTGACTCTGTTGCTCTTTATATGCTCTCTCTTGAATACCCAGGGCATGTGGTTTGATTAGAGCCAAACAAAACAATATACATTGGTGTATGGTTCATTTTCTCAGGTAAAATACAAGTCTGACTTGAACTGGCTCAGAGGCATCGGCTGGACTCCCCCAGGTTCTCACAAAGTTGAAATGGCAAGAAGAGCTGCTGAGTTGGCATACATTCGGGAAATGGGATTGCAGGGTGCTTCTGCTCAGTACAGACCTGGAGTTGTAAGTAGAGTAAACCGTTCTCACAAACCCCAACAGCTCTGCTCTCTAGAAGACAGACAGGCACACATCCTGTTTAATGCTTTTGAATGCTCCCTGGAGTCTACAGTTCTCCCCACTGTTTGAACCGAATATATATACTTCCCTCATCAAGCTTTGTGGCTCTGTGTATACCTTAATTTGAAGAAACCTCTCAAGAGAATTCAGCGCTGTCATGGCTGAGGAATTCCAGTAGGGACTAGGAAGTGCCACTGGATAGGATTTACTTATACTATGAGATGTGTTTCCCTTAACTTGTGGATGTTGTCAGGTCTCCAAGTGTCCTGGTACCTCCATGGAAAGCAGAAGTAGAGGTGGAAGGGATTCTCTTTTCCTGATTTCGGCAAGACACATCTGTGTCGCCATGTAATCTCCACTGGCAACTGTATTGACAGGATCAGTGTAGACTCCTAAAAGCATAACGTGTGCTATGGGAGGCTCCCCAGTACTGTGGGAGGGTTTTTGCAAAGGGGGAATGCTCCGGCCTCCTCCATCTCTATCCAGCCCAAGATGCAAGAAATTACAAGCTGAGATCTTCCAGTTTTTCCTTCTCCCTACCTCCACAGGGATGATTCCCAATCTGCAATGTCCCAGCACAAGAGAGCAAAAGTCCATACAGGGACTTTGTAGACCCTACAGTTAGGAAACATCAAGTTACAATAAAAGAGAAGTTCTGCACTCTAAATACTTTTTTCAATTAAATTTTAACTTTAGCAACAGGTCAAACATAAGCCAGCCCAAGAGAAACAGAACATATCCATGATTTGCATTCCTATCTGAAAAGTAACTTAGGAAATAAATTATAACTGTGGTTGAGGAATGCAGGCAGTGGGGACTGCAGGCAATATCTTTTTAAGTCCTACATATGATAATGATCTGATGGTCCGGTCCCAGGGAAATCTACAGGTGTGTAATCCACTTGGAACTCAGGTGTTTGCTGATTTTCTTTTTATTTAGGGCTCAAATTAGAAATTAGGACTTGAGCACATTCAATCCTTTGGCATGTGTAGTCTCTGGCTTAAAGGAATGGCTCCATTTTTTGCGCTTTTCCATTGTAGAGATTTGCTCAGTGCAGAGCAGTGATTCATATTTTGTTCATTTGTTCACCAGTTGAGCTAATTTTTAGTATACAAATATGTTTATAGAATAATTGTTATAAACCTCTTCCTGTCCACTGGCTGTCCTCACAATATTAGTTTGATTTAACAGGACCAATTGGAGATGGAAGGATGTCAGCAGGTCACAGTCAACCCTGATGCTTCAGAAATTCTGCAAGTCAAGAGAAGGAAAATGCAGTTGTATCAGCAGTAAACAGAAACATGACATTACACAAATAGATTTTTATCTTGTCCTGCAAATCCTGTAGCTTTTCCAGTTTTCTGGGAAGCACAATAGGTGGCGTCTGAGAACTTTTTGTTTTAAAAAGCAGCCTAAACATTGCAATTTATAACATCTTTCTATTTTTGTGTGGCTATTTTATCACTGTATGTATTACAGAATCTGATATTTATTTAAAGCTGTAAATGAAATTAGTACTAGGTGACTGGCAGGCTCAGCTTTGTACTACAGATGAATGATCTCGATTGGTAGAATATAATTTGTAAAGAATAAATCAGATTAATCTTATTCCATACTTGTAATCTTTGGAGGTTTTTATGTTCCTGGATTACTGGTGCCATTGACCTAAGAGAATGCAAAAGCATGATTCAGGTGGCTTAACAGATGAACAAGACAAAGGCCAGTGGAAGCAAAGTTATCATTGACTAACCAAGGGCATGCCTTTTGGCGACATCAGAGACTTTGTTCTTAACAGGATTAAGAGGATGCATTCAGATCACAATTAGTTCTTCAGCTTTTTTCAAATCTTCCAAAGCAAAAAATCAGAATTAGTTTGTTAGAAATTATGGCAATAGGGGTAGCTACTGATAGATTAGGTAGCTGTTTAGAGAAGGTTGTAAACCCTGCAATTCAGATGAAAGGCACATTACTGTTTTAACAAATTGACTCTTCACAAACACGTCTATTCGTTATGTCCTGATTTAATACCAGTCCCCTGTCTTTCAAATTTCTGTATAGGGCTGCAGAAGCATTGGGCAAAAAAATATACAATTAGAATGCAAAACTTGTGAAAACCCATGAATTATCTAATAGCTTTAGACCCATTTTTATAATGGTATTTAATACCCCCTGCGTCTCACTGGTATGAGCTGAGGTTAAGCCCATATATACTGTTGTAGATTGGGAGCATAATAAGTAATTATCCTTTAATCAGGAATAAAGTGGATAATTCTAATAGTGATTTTCTTTTTTTCTCTTTCAATCTGGAATGCACCACTGATGGAATTTGTGGTTATTTGCCATAGGCACATGATGATTTTTATGTATGTGAAAAGTGGTACTGGCTTTAAGGAGCACACATCAATGGCTTTGAGGTGTCAGGGTCCAATGAGTGCAGAAAAAACACACCTTAGCCACGGGCATGAGGTGAAGAGGGAAAGGGTGACAGCAGCTGAACCTGCAGAATTTTCAGGGCTTGAAAAGCAAAACTGGAAACATTGGCAGCTGCGGTTCTGATTTGGGGAAGAAATGGAGTTGCTTTACTTTCTGATCTGTTTTGCCTACAAAATCTGGGCTTATTTCAAAGCCCCCAACAGGAACACTGTCACTGTCATTCTATTAAACACTCTAAGGCTATTTTAAAGATGGTGGTGAAGGATGCCCCATGTAGGCCATGAGGAAATATCAATAATGTTTTTGATCAAAGAGGAGGCATTTGGGGAAATGATAAAAATAAGTAAATATCTCAGTCTTACCTTTTGTCATTCCATACCTGTCTCCTAATGAAGTAACCTTGACTCAGACCGAATTTTGGATTTAATCCAACTGAGAAATGTTGTCACCTGGGTATAAACCCCTGGCTTGTTTTTTAACCCACACTCCTCACCCCAGCTCACAAGGCCATATACATAATAGGAGCCATTTTCGACACAAGTTAGTGGGCCTCCAGAATCTCCCTGAAAAGAAAAAGCACACACATTCAAAACATGAAGCAAAACGTTAATCAAAATAAGAATGCTCCTCTCCCTTTATAAGACTTTGAAGCTATAATGATGGTCTTTTCCTATCAGATGTACCATCAGATTCTGCTCAGTTCCTGAGTAGGCTTGCAGTTCTGGAACCAGGTCAAATGATACATCGAAAAAGTTTGGTAAGTTTTTGTTTGTGAAGCCTGTGACGTATATCTGACAAAGTCACAGGAAATTTCTCAGGCATGAAAGTACCAGGCATTTGCAGCCTGAGCTCCACATTATATTGCTGAGATACGCCATGATGTGATCCTTGGCATAAATGAAAACACTTGATCTCTCCTACACCCCTCAAAATAACTTTATTCTAAACTGGCTGGTCTAAATTTTTGTTTTATTGGTGATTTCTATTGCAAAGTATGGTTGCAGTGGTAGTTCGCACCTCAGGAAGCATTGTTCAAACTCTTCCCTATCTTACAACAGTATAAATATGAACTTGCTTCACCTGTGCACTAGCTGTAATGAAAAGAAATATCAATCCTGACTTTCCCTGCAAGCCTTAGCTCTGATAGTGAAAATCATTAGAATTGGTGCTCATGGCAGAGGCCATAGTAAAACTGAGGGAAAAAAGGCAAGTTTTCAGGTTATTATGACAAACTGCCTCAGAAGCCAAACTTTCCAGTCTAGTCTGTAGCTTCCATACATCTGCCTGTGGCTGACAGTGACAACATTAGCTCTAGGGATATACATCTCAAACCGTACTGAAGAAAGACGATGGCTGTTGAAATACACTGATGGGAGAAACAGATACATATGCAGCATCCTGCCAAAGCTATTACTCTGCACAGCCTGACTATTTACACAAAAAATTAGTCTTCAAATACAGAAAAAGCAACAGACCTGACAAGAGTCCGCTCTGGGTCTCTGAAGATTTCCTGCACAAAACATGCTTTCATCCAGTATGTGATCATATGCTCTGGGTGCATTGCATTTCCTCTGCGAAATCAGCTTGACATTGGCATCTAACAGCTGACGGGATACTTCATCTATGGGATGTGCACCAAAAAAATGGAGTCACCTTCCTCCCAATCCTGTTACATGTTGTCTTTGTTCAAAATAGGAGCTTGCTTGCCATTTGGATGGGAAGGGGTAAGAACAGGGGGGATGCATGGGCTAGCCTGGGAAGAAAATAAGTATCTGTCTGAAATGATAAGGGTTAGGGTTGGAGCCTGGAAGCTTCACTCAGGACATCAAGTTGTTGCCTGAACAAAAGCAAAGTCAGGTATTCCGAATTTGGCTCCGATTAGCTCTACCCATGTAATCCTGCTTTTCAAAGGTGCTGGTTGTCTGCAGCTCCCACGGGTCCCAATGGGACTTTGAGCTGCTCAGCACTTCTCAGACTGGTGCCATTCGATGTTTTAACATGCAGGCTAATGGAATAGATGAAAACTGAAAATCATACAATATTTAAGAGCAATGATTAATTATAGTGAATCTAAAGACATAACTTGACATCTAAAGGCAATAGCCAGAGTTTCAAAGCACTACATCTGTACGTAATTAAAGGTGGTTTATAAGTTTAGTTCTGCTCGAGTTTCAGGAAATATTCCATTTCTGCAGTGATTTCCTGAAATGCTAATAATAGCTCTGCCCAAAGAAGGAGCCATCTAGTTTGAATACTTACAGGGTACTTGGTATTCTTTGTTGGGGGAAAAAAGAAATTTCCCTGTACCCTTTTTAAGAGAGATTTTTTATTTGGAACTTTTAAAAAATGTCCATTAAATTCAGTTGGTGCATTTTGATCAAATGAACATGCTTGTCTCTTGTGGACTTCAATGAGACCATCAGAAGGGAGAATTTGGTCCTATGTATCGTATCAGGCTGTATCAGTCACAAAGCACTAGGACACCTACTGCAGCCTGAGTGACACAGTTTCCTTCTGCTGCTTTACAGCAACATCAATCAGAACATGAGAAAATGCATTTTTCAGAAAATTGCCATTACCTTTTTTTAAGCATAGTAATTTCTCCCCTTAGGATTTACTGCGGGCAAGAAAGGTTTTGGATAGAGCTGGTTGAACTTGAAAAGCTTTGGATTTTTTTTTTTATTTTTCAGCGCATCTGAAGATCCAGATGCTGCTTCTGAAAGCTTTATCTGACCCAATGGGCTGGAAAACCATGTGAAAGTTCCTGTCTTTCTTGGTCCCGTCTTGAAACACACAAACTATACAATAGCCTCTCTCTTGATACCTTCTTACTTCTGTTGCTGGCTTCAGCTGAAACCATGACATGGTGTGTCAGATGGCAAGCAAAAAAAATGTGAAAAGGATTTTTTCAGAACTCTGAAAAGTTTGGTTGGTCTAGCAGTTGGAGATTGCTGATAATGAGTAATTTCCATGGCAGGGTTTAGCCATCCTTAGCTTTGAATTCCAGGTCTTGGTTTCACTAAGTACCTAGGTCCACATTTGGATCTGGCAACTGCTACTGAAAGTACCAGCCCACCTTGCCATGGAAGTACCCACCAAAATCCAGCGAGCCCATAAATACCTGTCTCTGTCACACCCCATCCAGAAATGAAGCAGTCAGTTCCAACAGGAAAGAAGAAGTTAGGCAGGCATGCTGTTTTCACATACTTTGTTTCCACTGCACAGTGACCATCAACTGGCTTCAATTTAAGTAGTGCTGGAGAGAAGATAAAGAACAAAAAGTATTCATAGATAATTTTAATTCCTAGCCATCATTACCAGTCTGTGATCCAATCCTCTGCAAAGTTGCATATGCCTAATGTGCTATTTGCACTACGTCCTGGACCTGCCCCTATTTTTTTACCTCTCACTGCCAGTGACTTCTGCCTGCCCATCACAATTCACATTCCAAAGATTCAAATGGGTCTAAATCACAATTTGGCCTAATTATTTCCAGAATATTATATTGACTTCAGTTGGAGAGAGGCACTTCAGATGACTGAGGCTGGAAGTGCACCACATGAATATTCAGTAAAAGGGATTTACCAATATCATTGTGTGGGACACCATCCTTCTCTCTGTATTTGTAATGTACAATGACCTTCTCCACATCAAATATTTGCTCTTGACGCTCTCTCTTCTTGAGGTCTTGCTTTCCAAGGGCTACTTGGAGATTTTCTGCTGGTTGTCTGAAAAAAAAAAAAAGTAAATTACACACAGACATTGTCTATCAGTTGTGGTGAAAACCTGCACCTTTAGTATCTGCAACTCAAGATATTGCTTCCTCTTGTAGAGCACGGCCAGAAGATTTCCTAAGATCATTATAGGAGAGCTTAGTCAGGGAAGCAGTGGTGTTGGACAATACATGGGCTCTTAACATCTTTCAGTCATGAAATTAAATGATTTAAAGCTGCATGAATACACTTTTCTTTGCAGTTTGGGGAAGAGTAGCAGTGTGCACACAGTCTGTTACTGTGGCTGTGATGATGAGAGGTAACTCATGGAGACACGGGAGTACAGTTGCTTGCCATTATCTGGGCGTACTTAAAATCATCTGTGCCGGAATGATCTCCAGTGTGTAATTTACTAATTTCGAAGGATAGTGGTTTCCAACCTGCTCAACAAAAATGTTGAAGGAAATGCCATATTCTAAGCTAGCTAGCACATAAACAATTGAAAGAAAAAAACATATTTCGCCTGTTCTCGAGATCTTAATTATGATGCAATACATTATGTTGTTTATGGTTTCCCAATATCCCCTGAGGGAGTCCTTCTTTCATACATTGCACAACTTTGTTACATGCCTCCTCTTTTCCTCTCATACAACTATTTTAGCTCATTTTGGATGAGTGAGAGGTAAATTTAATTTGTTATTCCAGCAAGCAAGCACGAATTTTAAGTATATGTATATTTTCATGTATATGTTCTTATTTTCACATATATGTTTTCCTTTCAGTTTAATTCCCAGCAAGTTTAATTCCCAGCAATCATTTGGACTGCAAATAATTTGGATTCCAAACTGTCTTTAATAACCATCCTGATTTTTATATGTTTATCTAGCCTAGGCATAGGACATGCACCTACTCAATGCAGTGCCCAGCAGTAAGAACCCAGCAAGCTTTAATTAGCACTCCACCACAGAAATGTTCACTCCTTTTTGAAGTCTTTATCTGCAAAGATGCCATCCAGGGATGTTTGCCAGGTGTAGTCTTAGCTCCACCATAGATCCTCTTGAGTGTCCTTTGAATTTCTGGTTGTCCACATGTTTTAAATATTTCATTTGATCCAGGTGGGTCTGTTGGGCTGTCTGTTGGCCATGGGCTCTGTTCAGCTGCATTGGAAGAGACAGCAGATGTGTAATGCAGAAATAGTATCAGACTGGAGGAGCCAAGTAACAGGGGTCACCTGCTGCTCTGGACCACCTACCCACTGCCAAACAGTTCACTTCTAATTCTTTACCTGTTCCTGAGCAGGGTGAAACGTCACAGAAGTCCCATTCCACTTTGTGATTTTTTCTGATGTAGCACCAGGGTTTTTCATCCTCATCGGGATTCCTGAAGGGAACAGTTCAGAGCATCAGCCAACAGGAATGGGGAAATCTCCACAAAACCAGCAAAGGAGCTGAGGATGCTTAGGGGAGCAGCCTCATGCTCCCATATGAGAGCCAAACTTCCAAAGGTACTCTTTCTTAAGATTTGACAAAGAAGATGCCTGAGATAAGGAGAGTGGGGCTTCTGCCATTTTACTGTCCCCATACCTATCTTAACCCTAAGAAAAATGAAGGACCGATTCAGGGAAATGAGGGCTCTTTCTGGAAGCGTCACATCAGTACAGTGACTTAGGGAACACACCCTTAACATCCTTGGTATTTTATAGATAGGCAGTGTCTAGGCAGTTGTGAGATATTAACACCATCAGTTAATCAAATTCATGAGCAGTTTGTCCTCATGCTCTCTTCGATATAGACCTCTACAGTTGCTTCTTCAAAATGTTACCTGCAGAAGTTATGTTCACCAATGCCGTAAGAGTCAGCATCCTCCATAAAGGCATTAATAGGGTAGTCCAAGAGATCATGGGAATTCCAGTGCAGGCAGGTCTTGCCATTCATTGCTTGGTTCACTCTCCCTCTGTACTTGGAGGAGGCCTCTTCATAACAGTCATCCAGTCCTGTAGGAAGACAATGATGACATGAAAATGCCTTTTGTGTTATTCTTTGCCCAAAGTGGTTTCTCCTCCTTCCCATCCTTGACCTACATTCATTTTATGGAGAATTAGAAGCACCTGCTGGGTTATGTAATGATATCCCTTACCCTACACAGGCCAGAAATGAGAGTAATGTCCCAACATCTGTCCAACTTGAAGCTTGATTGACTTCAAATGCCTGAAACATCTTTGCATGGTAAAGACCTAACAGCTAAGAGGTGCCTTAATGCCAAAGCACAATCTCTCTGTCAATGGCATAGGCAAGAAATGGTATTGGCAGTATTAGACGGAAGTGGGCAGAGCTGCTATCATGCTAGGGCAATGGGTGTGCCAAAAGGAAGATTGTGGGGTTGTGAACCTAACCTGTAGGCGAGCTGGAGGAAAAAGCACCTGCAATGTGGAGCACGTAGTGGTATACATGGAGTTTGAAGTGAAATCAACTTTTAAAAGAGAAAGAAACAAATCATTCACCTTGAAAACATGTGTGGGGTATGGTGCCCATGGTGGTGCTGCAGAGGCAGAAGGTTCTCTATGCAGGCTGGGGTAATCCTATGCCCTTGGCCACCCATCTGTGTGTCAGTGACTGTACCCCAGCCTTGGGAGTCACAGGCAAGTGGACATGAATCTTCACTACATCAGCTTTCGAGTGTTTAAGGAGAGCCCAATGTTCCTTCTCCACGGGACATGCAACCTCTGGGAAATGTGTGCTCACTCGTTATATATCGGTGGGACCTTGCTGAAGCACACTTAGAAAACATCAGTATAGGAACTGTTTTGAGCCTCTTTGCTGATGGTGGCTGCAGAAGTCAACCTCTTCCTCCATCACTCTCCCTGAGGAGGCTAGTTCCCCGGGTGCATTCAGGTACTTGGTGCGATGACGGCATCAATCAGTTTGACTGCAGGGTGAAGCCTGCCCTTGGCTGTCTTGGGGATGCGCCCCTACCCTCTCCCCTGGAGCTGTGACATACCGATCTCACAGAATCTCCCTCTGAAAGGTTTGGGGCACTCGCAGGTGAATTTTGATCTGATCCTGTGCCGTATGCAGATACCTCCATTTTTGCATGGGTTTGGTCTGCACGGTGAAGATGCTGTCAACATGGAAAACAGAACAGCCTTGTCACTGCTGAATGCTATACAGCCACTTGCATGTGCAATAGAAAGTGGGGAGAGCTCCCACTTAGCCTGTTGTCTTCAAGATCTTATGAACTCTTGAAAAGCACTTATCACAGGTGGTCTCACCAGTGAGTGAACCACCACCCTGTAAATCAAGCATAACTCATCACTGATCAGCCCCACAGATGGGAGCCATAGCAAACTCAAGCACCAGGGCAGGACCACCTTCTGCAGTGGGCTGCATGTGATCTCCCACTGCTGAACATCTGCAGTGAGGCGACCTCGCCTTGCCATCCCCACCGCAATTCACTCAGCACCCCGCTAAGCTGGAGCCTTTTCTGATGGGGCTGTGCTCACCTCGTTGGCAGTCAGGTAGTTTGTAGGGATGATTGCAGCTGCACTGAAAGTAAGGAGGAGTTAATGTAATTAGGCAGTGTCCCGTGTGGCACCTTTTCTCCAGGCACATGTCCTTCACTGTGGAAAACAGACACGAGGTTCTTCATCAGCATTTGCATGTGCACAAGAGCTGTGCCCTCACAGGGATCGTGGGAAGACACGCTTTCTTGTGAATCTCTGAGGAGGCTTTCATCTGTCTGTAGTGGACTTGGGATTTCCATTCTTGTTCACATTATCTATTGAAAAAAAATCTGCAGGACTGACAAGTAGCTCACCACTGCCCACCTGCCATATAGACATCCTCTCTGCACACCTGAAGTCTGTCTTACTGGATACCACTTTAGACAGACTTTGGTCTGGATGAGGAGCTAAGCGTGAGACCTATGAACATGACTGGGCTGTCAAATCCCTCACCCCAGCAAAGAGTGGGTTTATAAAGCCCTGTGTTTGCTTCCATTGACAGAGCTGTAACAGTAACATTAGTTGCCAAAATAGGGAGTGTAAATTAGCAGAAGAGAAATTACCTTTCTCGCACGTAGTCCCAGTGTACGGCTCAGGGCAGACACAACTAAAGCTTCTTCCTCTGTTTTCACACATACCATTGTTCTTGCAGGGGTTGGAGGAGCATGGGTCTGCTAGGGTAAGGATAGAGATCTTTTAGTTTAACTTTCAGCTTCTCCACCTCCATCACCTGCTTTTTCTTCTCGCATTTTTTGACTGCAGAAGGCTGCCTTCCTGGCCGCAGCATCCCAGGTAACAGATATTGCATTTACGCATCAGCTCAACAGCCACAGGAGCAGCTATGAATTGCTGCAGAGCCTACTGTAAGCTGTAACAAGCTTTGGATAAGGAGCTCCTCAGCTATCTCTGCCATGTCTACGATGGAGCTGTAATGGGGCAAGTCCCTTCCTTTGCCGAGGGCCAGATTTGCCTCTATAGCAGTGGTAGAAGCAGGTGCATTAAGAGCCAGAGCTGGTCCTAGGCATCTGCCTTCATGTGTTTATTGCGGAGGGGTCTGGATTTGCATTGCCCTGGTTTCAACGTGGCACTAAATCTCCCCTGGACAAGCCATCCATCACCATTATACTGTACAACACCCCTGGGTGGCTATTGCTGCAGGGGAGCAGGCACCTGCTGAGAACCACCTGAGCGCTGCTCCTTACGCCATGCTTAACCTCTCCACTCCACTCCACCCCGGGCTGCCAGGAGCAATTCGTGCTGGGGACAGCTACACACCAGCTCTGCTTTCCTTGTACCAGGCGATAACCCAGGGGACATCACAGGCAACTTCCCTGTCTCTCTTTTTGTGTTTCCTGAGCAATCTTAAGGACCCTTTCCTACTCTCCAGAAGTTTGGCAAAACAGAAAAAGAAAAGAAAAGAAAAAACCCCACAACTGAGAAAAAAGAAAAGAAAAAAAAAGGAAACCTGCTCTACATTTGGTTCCCAGCATAAATACAGAACATATATCCCATGAAAAAAGCAATTACATCCTACAGTGTCTATAGACAAATAAGCCTGTGCTTTTTTGTAGTAGCAATCAGAAATGTTCTGCATGATCAGAATCCATCCTGTGAAACCCGGAGATAAAACACAGGCTCCTTACAAGAGAAATACAAAGGAGAACACTGCAAACAATCCTCCTAACTCATCCCTTTGATGCAGGCATTTCGAGAGCAGGCTGGCAGCCGAGGCCTGCCACGCTCATGCTGCAAGCGCAGCGTTGGGATTTTACCCATTCCTCGCCTCCCTGTCCGCCCCTCAGAGGTACCTTTTCCGCTATCGCTGTAGCCAAAAAATGCCTCAAACCAGTCAGGGTCCTCTGAGGGCTGCTGCTGGAGGAAGGGGTCCTGCTCCGTTTGCGTGTACTCGTCATAGTACTCGTAGTCGTCAGCCCCGTCTGCAGGGAGGGGTGAGAAGAGGGGGGAAGAACAGGGGAGTTACAACTGCTGGAAGGAGAGAAGGTGTGAAAGAAGTTACTCCCTGGGGTGGACAGTCCTGTTCTCCTTCAGCTCGTTTGGGATGCCAGTGGGTCTAGAGCTTGCATCATCTTGAGGACGAAAGGTGCCGTTCAGCTCTTCCTCGGCGCGGGCAGAGCTCGCCCCGCGCCCAGCACGGCCTCCCCCCAGCGCCGCTGGTCCCAGCTCTGCCCTCGGGGCCGCTCCGGGAGG